CTAGATAATTGTTAGTAGATAACAAGTTAACGTTCCCTTCTAGTTAACTGATATCACAGACTAGGTAGTTGTTAGTAGATAACAAGTTAACGTTCCCTTCCAGTTAACTGATATCACAGACTAGGTAGTTGTTAGTAGATAACAAGTTAACATCCACTTCTAGTTAACTGATGTCACAGACTAGGCAGTTTTTGGTAGATGACAAGTTAACTGATATCGCGGACTAGGCAGTTTTTGGTAGATAACAAGTTAACATCCACTTCGATATCACAGGCTTGGTAGTTATTGGTAGATGACAAGTTAACATCCACTTCTAGTTAACTGATATCACAGGCTTGGTAGTTATTGTTGATGTTAGGTATCTGTGTTATATCTCAGAAATAGGTGATGTTAGGTATCTGTGTTATATCTCAGAAATAGGTGATGTTAGGTATCTGTGTTATATCTCAGAAATAGGTGATGTTAGGTATCTGTGTTATATCTCAGAAATTGGCGATGTTAGGTATCTGTGTTATATCTCAGAAATAGGTGATGTTAGGTATCTGTGTTATATCTCAGAAATAGGTGATGTTAGGTATCTGTGTTATATCTCAGAAATTGGCGATGTTAGGTATCTGTGTTATATCACAGAAATTGCCGATGTTAGGTATCTGTGTTATATCTCAGAAATAGGTGATGTTAGGTATCTGTGTTATATCTCAGAAATAGGTGATGTTAGGTATCTGTGTTATATCACAGAAATAGGTGATGTTAGGTATCTGTGTTATATCTCAGAAATTGGCGATGTTAGGTATCTGTGTTATATCTCAGAAATTGGTGATGTTAGGTATCTGTGTTATATCTCAGAAATTGGTGATGTTAGGTATCTGTGTTATATCTCATAAATTGGCGATGTTAGGTATCTGTGTTATATCTCAGAAATTGGTGATGTTAGGTATCTGTGTTATATCTCAGAAATTGGCGCTGTTAGGTATCTGTGTTATATCTCAGAAATAGGTGATGTTAGGTATCTGTGTTATATCTCAGAAATAGGTGATGTTAGGTATCTGTGTTATATAACAGAAATTGCCGATGTTAGGTATCTGTGTTATATCTCAGAAATAGGTGATGTTAGGTATCTGTGTTATATCTCAGAAATATGTGATGTTAGGTATCTGTGTTATATCTCAGAAATATGTGATGTTATAAGATCTGACCTGTAACCTAGAGATGTGCGATGTTAGGTGATATCTGATGTTGTAAAAGGACCAAATATAAATGAATTATGAAGGAAACTTTGATGGAAATAAATTGTAATGTTTATTGTCAGATATCACGCTATGTTCAAAAGGAATCAATTTTAACATCTATGTTTAATTTTGACGCCGAGTTATAAAATGTCGGTTCTTATTCACGACTTTATATTAACGATTTCCGTGTATTTCAATGAGCCAGCCAGGGTAATTTTGTTTCCGATATGGAATAAGAAAGGGGATTAACAGGTATTTTAGCGCTGAAGTGATAGACTGTAAATTAATTATACCGATATGACTCTATTTACCTTGTATAAACCACACCTCGTTGAATCTTTGATATACCTTCAGTCAGATGGAACCGTCAGATTATTCATCATACACCTGAGATTTGTGGAACTAAGCTTAGGATGGCGACAAAAGGTGTGTTTAGTAAATAAAAAAATTGTTGGAGGAAGCTCAGACCCCGAGGCGATTCCTGAGTCCACAATATGTCCCAAAGGTTGAATTTCATTTTTGTATCAAATGTATCCTGGGAACAATATGTGTTCAAAATAGAATAATAACAATTTTTAAATGATTTGTCTTCTGTATTGTGCCTTATTGACTCGATATATAATTAGACTTTCATACCCTACTGCTCTTTACTTTATTGGACTAATGAAATGAAATGGAGTTTTACATCCTACTGTTCTGTTCCTCTTTAATCTAGTAAAATCAAATGAATTTATACCTTTCATTTTGTTTTGTACATTATTTGGTTAATACATATTGGTCTATACTTTTTTGGATAATGAAATGAAAAAGAGTTTTGTGTTTTGAGTTCTATATCCTCCTGTTCTGTATCTTCCTGGTCTAATGAAATTAAATGGAGTTTTATATGACATTGTTCTATATACCGTATAATGAAATGAGTTGATGTTTTTTGTCCCACTGTTTTGCTGCTATGTTACCTAATAATAAATAAGTAATTAATATTGTGATTAGAATTATCGGTAAAGATGAAAGAGAATATGAAATGATAGAAACGTTTGATTGAGAGATTGAACAATTATTATTATGCTTAACTTCCTGTCAAAGAAGTTTGTCTATGATGTTTTCCGGCTCAAGTCATCCGCTTCACAGCGCGACAGTAGTGTTAATTTATGTTCTCAACGATGAACAGAATTTGCATAAATATACCAATAGACAGTATAAACAATGGGACAAAAAGCGTGAACATTTCATTTCATTGGTCAAGAGATAAGATATCATAAGATAAGTAGGTTTCAGTAAGACCTTTGTCTGCTTAGTGTAATTATTATTTCCTTTCACGTTTTTTACGCATTTCGAAAAATGTATAGTGAATAATGATACAGATGAAACCAAAAGAAGGAGTAAATAATAAAATATAACGACTGAAAGCCTGTCTCTTGGGACAATTTATATACAATTTATATACGTGGCCAGTACGCTAAGAACAGGTTGTTAAATCCAATTTCATTTCACTTTTGCACAAGAGAGAGGGACTTAACTTTTATTGGAGTGTGTTAGCGATACAAAGTCACACGTCAGCCGTACAATGGAAAAAAACTCCAATATTTGCTCAAAATCACTTTTTTGAACTTTAGGTATCAGAATTTCAAGCTTTATTTAGTAGGATATATCCTAACAATCATTGAACAATACTTATTGAGATTATTAGGTGACAAAAGGCGGTAACTCCATAACTTGAATATATTCTCAATTGAAAAAGGCAGCATCTGTTGTTATATATATAGGAAATATGTGACAAAGCAAAAAGGCAGTAAGTGTGATGAAAAGTTTAAAGTACAGTTTTCTCGAAATGTACAAAAATGTCTATACTGCCTTTTACAATTGTAGGGCTGACGTAGAGAGCCCTGGCACCAGCTTGTACACTAGTAGAATGTTTAAATAAAATATTTTAAGCGAAAGATTCCGATTTTTCTGTTGAATTAGTTTAATACGTTGAAAATTTTCCAAAAGTTTTGGATCCAAGGCCCAATACCTGAAAGAAATCTAATGAATAACTGAGAAATAATATACTAAAGGCAAATATTGTCGCATGATCTTCGGTGAAACTGAATGAATCATCTTAGAGAAACAACATGCAGTTCGTCAGAACGTTCAAGGTTTATCTGTTTACAGAAAATCAGCAATTATCACTTTGACTGGTCTTGACATCACCACATAATAACTTCATCTAAAAACTCTCATAAAAACACAAGGTTATAAATATTAATACGGCTTCTGTCATAATTATCACGTGATCAGATCAATCAGACGAAGTTAAAAAATATAATTCGTTGGAGATGATTGGTGGTTCCGTTTAACATTGACTCTGCAGTCAGTTTGTATTTACATAAATTATCCTACTAATGTCTTTTTTATTGAGTTATTCATTACTTTTATAGTTAAAAGATGGATACTGCGTCTGATTGAATTTTATACAAAATATGCAACACGTCCAAAGCACGAATATTACCAACCAAAAGTTTACGTTGCATTCTTAAATTATTTAAACACTAATTGCAAATTACATTCTCTTTTGTCGATTGTCAGCAAAGTACATCTAGTATTCTAGTTAAATCTTATTATGCTCTTTCTTGTCATAGTTCATATATTTTGAGTTTTGATTTTGAATGATAACTTCTTTCGAGAGTTGAATTTTCGACTTATCGAAATAGGATGATAATTAAAAGTGCGTTTAGGTGAGAAAAACAGTGTGTGTTACCTAAATATTGATTAAGATTATGTAGTTCGTCTAAATGCCCAAATATAATTGAGTTTAGTTTAATTCATTTAGATTTGCAACTGACTTGTTAACTGTTGAAACAGGTTTAAGTTTAAGAATGCATGGCCATGATGATACAGATACTTTATAGGAACTTTCTAGGGAAAGCTCAATTCATTTTTAGATTGATTATTATGAATTTGGCCCAAGAACCAATTCAATCTAGGAATATTGTTTTCGACGTAAATAATATGTAAGTATTCCGCGAGGTCAGGTGTATTAAATGATAATGTCCTTGGAAAGAAAGATTAAAGTGTTAGTTGGTGTACAAAACAAATCTTACACATAAGATATTTTCAAAATATTGCTATATTCGAGATTTTCCTCGGGATTTACATATTGAAATTTCTCGGCTATCATACGACAATTAAGGATCCGATCTCCAAGTACAAGTATAAGAGTAAAAGTAAATATTGACAAACTATCTGTATTTAAAATCAACGAAGCTGAAAGCGATCGGACCACACCGGAAGTAACATGGAAGATTTATAAAGAACCTGATCGTTCACGCTTGAAGCTTTCTGACTTCAATTAGTATAAAATTTCTGTCATTCAGGGTTAATTGTTACTTTCTTTCAATACAATAGATCGAAACAAAAGTATACAATATAACTAGTGAGACTGGGTGTTTTGTTGTTGATTTAAACACATCTAAATAATAATATAATCAATCTGTTCATTAATTTGACACAGCATTAAGTTTAATTTGTGTCTTTAGTTTTATGATTTCGTATTTTGATAAATAATTTAACCTTTGTTCAATGTGTTGGTTTATAAATGTTCTCTTATTTTCCTCGTCAGTTTGTTTTTTGTTATCAGATGTTTT